AGCACAGCTCCAACCACCTTCGGGTCCATCAGTGGATTCGCTCTGCCATCCGTGATTCACAACAACCACCCTCTCCTATAGGTTTCCTATTTTTGAAATTTCGGCCACCGCCTTGCGCGGCACTACTGGCACTTGAATATATTTTTTTGAACCCATTGTTTCACCACCCTGCCCTCATTGATTCTCAATTACCACAATTAAGAATCCAAGTGTGCCCAACCAAAAAAATGGGAGTGCCACACCAATCCTATTTTTTTTTATTTGGGTTAGCTTTAGTAATAGGAAGAAAGGATCATGTTTTGTACATTAAATACATATGTATCTATAAAGTCTATTTTATATATTTATATATATCATGTATAAAATATATTTTGATCGGTTTGATCATTACAACTTCGCGATATAGAATATCGAATTTCGAGGGAGCGGCCACGCCTGTATTTTTGTTGCAGGTCTTTCCTCGGAAGATCGTCAGATCCTGGAGAATCAGATTCGCAATCTGCGGGAAGGAGGCCAGACTTCCTGCTCTTCTTGCTGCAAGAAAAAGGTTTGGTCTCCAGCAAGTCGAATTGTGAGAGGAATTTCTTATTTCGCCATTTACAATGATTAGGTGTACAGTCTTCTGTTTTTTTTGCGGAGTCACCCCTTGCCACCCTAATTGACACGGCAAAAAATCGTGAAAATCCAGATTCCCTCGCATGTTGACTTGGGCACGGTAAAAGCACAGCAGCGCAGAGGTATAGACGTGCCCTCTGGCAAGACAGCCAAGCGGCCAATTTACCTGGAGAAGTTCCGTCTAGGAGCGCTGGGTGCGGTGCTTTTGGGAGCACGTCATGCGGCGGCACAGAAGCTGCGGTTTCATGGTGGCAGAGAGGCCCTACAAGGGATACAGTATCAAGGGATCAGGCATGACCAGGCTGTCAAAGATGAAGCATGATGAAGTATGATGAAGTATGATGAAGTTCATGGCCAACCTGAACTCCTTGGGCAAATTGTCAATCTAGACCCCAAGACACAATTCATAGTGTCTACCAGACGTTTGTCCCAGGAGCCTTGATCGCACAAGTGGAGTTTCTCATGCCCATGAAGAAGACTGCCAAGATCCTGAAGCAAAGACAGGCCAAAGGGTAGCTGCACTGCTGCTACCGCAGCGTGGCTGACAGCTGCGCCAAAGCTGGCATAGGCAGACATGTGCAGACAGGGTATGTAAACAAGATTCCAGTCATCCCTGCGAACTGTTTCCCAAAAGTTGTTTTTTATGTGGAGGCTGCAGCATCTGGATCTGATTCAGCGACTACCTTGGAGGAGAGAGCTCCATGGAGCAGAGTCCAATTTGGAGATGGAACAGACGGAAACCAGGAACACATGGTCTCCGAAGGTCCTAAGGCCCTAAGTCCCAAGCTGGCCCAAGCATTGTTTGCTTCTATGTTTGTTGTACTGTGATGGTCTGGTATGCTCATGGGTCGCTTGAAGAAAGCATGATAATGGGAGAAACAATTGAAAATAAAGTGCAACTTCTTATGTATCCATGACGTTTTTTTTCATAGGCCAAAGGTTGACGTTCGTAGAGGTTTGGGCCGGCCAATGGTTTGAGTTGCTGATTGCTCATGCCCTTGTAAAGGGATCCTGTTTGAAAGGGTTGGAACCTCTTGGTGTCCAGTTTCTTATAGTATGCAAAACACTGTTCTAAAGATAAGATCGTCAAAGGAAATTTCATCTCAATCACCCGACACAACCCCATGGAGAACTCATTGCTCAAAAATGTCCGGAGCCAAGCAACGAGTTCATTGGATCACAACATATTACAGCCCACTTGGCCAATGTAATTGTTGAAGGATCTGCCCATTGTTTGTGGATTAAGTCAGCTTAAAATCCCATTGTTGGCAAACCGCCTGGATTTGTTCAGGAGTTTCAAACATGTTCAAATCATGGGATGTTTCAGCGGTAGTGATGTAAAGTTATTGGCTGCCCCTCACTTGGATTTCCTTAACCAGGATGCAGAGGATCAGTTTGATGCACAGTGGCTCCAGCAACTTGTCCCAAGTGGTCGTTGATGGCAGTATTTGATGGCCCAGAGATGGGGAGATATTCTTTGGAAAACTTCACCTGGCAGCCATGTTCCATAGGGACCCATAGGAGACCATTTAGCCGTTGGATTTGCATGGATTTTCCATATCCAGGTGAAGTTGTGATGCAGATATGATTCGATCCAACAATGATTCATGGAGATGTTGCTGCCTAAAACCCTGTATATAATATTAAACAAACCTTCCAAGTGATTGTTGCTCATGTTCATTCATTTTCCCTTAGCGGGAAGTAAAGCTCTCAGGCATCAGAGTTCTAGCGGTAGGGAGGGCAGGGCACCCAGCGACATCTGGGAGCGTCCCTGTTGGATGATTGGATGATTGGATGGTGTGACCATGTGTGATCTCAGGAACGGGATGTCCCGTAAATGCGTGCCTTTCTGTCGGGAGTCGAAGTCCTTCAGGTCCATGTGGCTTTCGCGTGTGCTGGCTCGCCTAACCTACCGCTCCCACGGTTTGATGAAGAAACTTGGAACACCTTTTTGAAGAATGGCGGAGGACAGTTTATGAAATTTCAAAGATGTGCGGCTGGGAAGCTAACAAGGAGGCTTTAAAACAACGAAGAGGGACTGATATTTTTGCTGTTTCTGTTGGACCTCAAGCCTCAAAATTCCACCATGTTTAGGGATGTCTTAGAGCGAGAAAGAGAGGGGAGAAGTCGGAGAAGCTAGAAGTTTGATGAAGTTCGCGTGTGCCAAGGACAATCCTGACGTTTGCTCAGCGAGTCCTGGTCTTTGTGATCACCAGTGCCGCTTGAAGTAAGTAATTATATAACAGGGGCTTGCTGCGAAATAGATATTCTTGACATCTATGTATTGATGATGGCCATCCATAACAAATCTTCAAGGGATTCCAGCTGCTTCCCTTGCCAACCACACTTGTTGGCCAGTGTTTTCCGCAAGAGCTGTTAGTGTAGAAGCAATCACAGAGGAGAGTGATAGTGGTTAAATCATGTTAAATCCACGGGCCACTCGAGCGAACCCAGGTTGGAAGTGGTGTACTCACCAGCCTCGGCCATGTCACACCAAGATTTGCGTTACCCGAGATTCTTGGTGCGGGTGCATGCAGCAAAGGACATTTGTCCACGCCATTCCATGTGTTTCGTGATGCATCAAGAGAAAACATTCTGGTGCATGGAGTGGAGTGTGTGGCAATATGCGCTATGCAAGATGCAATCCCTGAGTTCTAACATGTTGCAACAACGTACTTGGTTGATTTCCCAAACAGGATGGGGATCTCCCATTGCCTGGTTGATTACCAGAGGGTATGCTGTTGGGACGTAGGGCTACCATCATGATCCACACCGTGACATCACCGTGACAAGAAAATTGCCTACTGGTCCTGCTGAGGACTAGGATTGAGACCGAGTTCACGGACCTTCATGTGTTCGCCATGAACCTTTTCCAGACCTACGTCAAGCACGGTATGTGCCCCGGCATCCTGGATCAGCTGACATGTCTTTGAATTTTATTTTCATAGCGTAAGATATGGTTCTGTCGTATTCGGCGGTTAAGCTCCTGTCATGTTAGGAAGACGCATGATGCTAGAAAGTGTGTTTGTGTGTGTGTGTACGTGTGTGTGTGTGTGTGCGCGCGCGTGTGCGTGTCCGTGCATGTGTCCGTGTGTCCATGTGTCAGATATTTCAATATATTTCATGCACGGAAACTACATCATCAGATCACTATCAGCCTCCTTCTACCTTACTGAGCCTTACTGTTTGTGCAGGTGGGAATCTTACAAGGTCCTGGGCAGCATGAATATCTTGGGAGATCCCATTGGCTGGACCCTTTCGGTTGGAGGCGGGATCTGCTGGGACTGGCCATAACGACAACCTTGGCTGGACAGCCACCGCATGTCCCGCAGCTGTTTGTCTTTGCATCGCCAAGGCAGACCTATTATAATGAAGGGGTCAGCAAGAGGGGAGAACCTTCATGCTCTCGGCTCTCGTGGGTTTGTTCATGGAGAAATCTTAGGCAAGTACTGCTGCAAAGACAACGTTGCTTTGACCAGTGCCAGCTGCGCACTAGCTATTTCAAGCACGCGGTTGCCTGGACAAAGAAAAGGACAGCACCAGCTTCAAGATAAAACCGGTACTCCTACACCTATAGGTAATAGGTTTCTGGCATTTCGCACCTGAATTTAGTGCCCACTCGGCATGAGCAAGCTCGAGACCGTCTTGGATTGGAAGGAGAAAGGGAACGCGAAGCTGAAAGATGAGGAGCCAAGGGCCAACTAGAAACGGGGGTGATTGTTCCAGAAGTGGTTGGTTTGAGGGATGTCTCGTGGGCTAAGAACATATTGGAACCCCTCGACTATTTGGATTACAACGCTTGCAGTCTACCTTGTTGCATTCCCTGATAAGGACAAAGAGGGCGCCCTGGAATGTTACAGCGAAGGCCTTTCCATCGGTTGGAAAGCTATCGATGTGTTCCGGGGCCTTTCGGAGGAGGGCAATGCAGGGTTGGGAAGAGGGTATGCGGGTATGCTGATCATTTTTAGGCTCTGACTTCCAAGTGATCCAAGAGAAAGGGGAAAAAACATGGTACGGACCGGTGGAGTGGAGGGGGTCTTTTTTGTGGCAGCCCTTCTAAGGCTGATTTTCTGTTGGGCACTTGAGAGTAGCTGAGAAATGCTGAGACTGCTGCACATGTTCAAGCTTCTTGCGGCTGTCCACCACTACCAGCGGAGGTATGGACTACTGGGATTGCTATCCAATTTGTTCAAAGATGATCAAAGATGTTCAAAATGATTGCAAAGACTCGACGGGGGGGGTCCTCTCTTGCACTGATATACCTGTTTATATTGCCATGGCGGGTTCTCTTTGAAAAGGCCATCACCGTCTCCATTTTCGCCAGGACTTTGAGCCACTGAAAGTGGCCGTCGCGCAGATTTGCACAAATCGGGCACACGTGCGGCTGCTGTTGGATCAGGCTGAGCTGGCCTTGGAGGACTGTAAGAAGGCTCTCGAGGCGTCAAAGTATTTGCGAAGGATCATGAAATTGGAAACTGGAAACTGGAAACTCAGCTTTTTGTTCCACTCAGCTTTTGAAACTGGAAACGCTGCAAGCTATGACCATATATCCCCTGAACTTGAATCTTTCATATCGTTCAGTCTTTCGATGTCCTTTAACCATAGTCGATGTGTTTCTCCATGTTGCACCGTGGCACGCTGGTGCCAGGTGGACTTCCAAAATGCCAAAGCCTACTGGCGCGGCACAGTGGCGGCGCTGCGGCTGCCAGAAACGCACGAGGGCCGGCGCCAAGCAGCTGAGCTGTTGCGGCAAGGGCTGCGAATGGCGTACGATGGTGGCCAGGCGCTGCCAAACTTGTGGCCTGGCAGAAGACCCGAAACATTTACAAATGTATTTTCTACACGGCAGGTACGTATATATAATAAATAGATTTATAATATTGAATGTTTTTGACTGCGCATAAAGAATATCAACAATCTCACAGCTAAATACGTGGACTTATTCTTGAATATGGGTAAAGGTTTCCAGCTGAGCACAGTTAGATAGCTGTTCGCTAGCATTGCTTTGCAGCGCTTTGTTCGTATGGGCAGATCCTTGCCTGCGCACATTCTTTGGTGAACAAAAAATGTATGTTCACACGATGTGTTGCGCATTCTTCTCGCAAGTGGCTTGACTTGAAGAAATAGTTTGAGGCAAGAAAGATGGTACTCGCAAAAGATGGTAGAAGGACTTGATTGGGAAGCTGCTCAAGCAAAGCCAAGGTTGAAGGAACATGTGACCACCTTTTGCAGTTGGGCAGACGAAGGCCATCTTCCATCTGTCTATTTGGTTGCCTTGGCTTATCTCAAAGGCAATGGCGTGGCAAAGGACAATGACAAGGCCGTTTGGGGTGACTTGGGTATCAGTATACCTGGCACTGGCATGATAGGCTGGATTTGGCTGGATTGGCACCCAGGACTTGTTGAGAGAGATGTGCTGGCCACTCTTCTTTAGCTGTTTGGCCAAGAGCATACCATATGATAGTTTGTGCAAAAGTTGAACAGCACAGCAGCAGACCACAATGAGATCTGCTGTTTGATTTCAGCTTGCGCCAGGCTCTAGCCATGTTCCAATATGCATCCAGTAGAGGAGATAGCCTTGCAAAGGCCATGGCAGAGCAGCTGGAGGCGAACGTGGGAAAATCTCCGGCTGGAACAAATACCGTCTCAGAAACTACCAGTTCAAGATTCAGAAACTATGATTACACGATTCAAAAACTACAGGTCCAAGCCCAACATGATCCAACATGCAATAGTCTTCTTCAATCTCACAGCCTTCCCTTGCGAAGCGTTTGTGTCACGATTGAGTTATTTTTAAAACCTCTCCCCTCCCAAAGCCCTACATGCAATAGTTTCCTCAACTTCACAGCCTCACCTTTCCAAGGGTTCTTGTCACGAGTCAAAATCATGTTTATCACCGCCCCCCCAAAGCCCTTAGTTTCCTCAACTTCACAGCCTCACCTTTCCAAGGGTTTTGGTCACGATTCCAAGTCATGTTTAAAACCTCCCCCTGCCCAAAGACTTACATACAAAAATATTCTCAACTTTACAGTTTCACCTTTTCAAGGGTTCTTATCAAGATTCCAAGCAGTTTTTAACACCGCCCCCCCAAAGCCCTATATCGTTTTCCCAGTTTCTGAATCATCTTCTTCCTGTTTCCGAATCACAGTCTACGAATCAGCGTTCATCCTAGTTTCCGAATGACATTTCTCCCAGTGTCCGAATGACAGTTTCCAAATCACGTTTTCCGAGTTTCCGAATGTCTAGTTTCCGAATCAGTGCTCACCCTAGTTTCCGAATCACGTTTTTCTAGTTTCCGAATCCGCGCGTGACCGTCAGGCTGACGTTAAACAAATCCTAGAGGACGTGCTCTATATATAATTATACAACATGTTTCTGATCTAGCCTTTTGGGTGCATGGAAAGTAGACTCCTGATTCTATAGAGGTGCTATGTTTTTGCTTCTGGCTTTAAAGAGCGCCTACTTGTATTTGTTGGGACCCAGCATCATTGCAATGGTGGTTCTGATTCTATATATGATATATGGGAAACAGTGCTTCATAAAACCCACGTTTATACAGGATATATTTAAATATATTTAATTTTATATAGATAGATATATATTTATTTATTTATTATGGTTTTGGTTATCGAATTGAGCAAGTAAGAAAATCTTTGCTGTCAACCTATGGGAATGCGTGATGAGTGATATGACATTTACAGTTTGAGCTGTTTTAGCATCTGTGGCCACAGGTTTCCCCAAAGGCACTTTTTGTTCGGTACATCTCAATTCCAATTACTGTGTTACTGTGCTTCCCATTTTGATACTTTGGGTCTATAGAATCTGGGTGTACTGAGTAATGGCTGTCAGGGGACTATCATATAATGATATGGAGTTCGAATCACA